TTTGGTGGAGGTGTCATGGGTGTCCAGGACATTTGGTGGAGGTGCCATGGGTGTCTAGAACATTTGGTGGAGGTGTCATGGGTGTCCACAACATTTGGTGGAGGTGTCATGGGTGTCTACAACATTTGGTGGAGGTGTCATGGGTGTCTACAACATTTGGTGGAGGTGTCATGGGTGTCTACAACATTTGGTGGAGGTGTCATGGGTGTCCAGGACATTTGGTGGAGGTGTCATGGGTGTCCACAACATTTGGTGGAGGTGTCATGGGTGTCTACAACATTTGGTGGAGGTGTCATGGGTGTCTACAACATTTGGTGGAGGTGTCATGGGTGTCTACAACATTTGGTGGAGGTATCATAGGTGTCCACAACATTTGGTGGAGGTGTCATGGGTGTCTACAACATTTGGTGGAGGTGTCATGGGTGTCTACAACATTTGGTGGAGGTGTCATGGGTGTCTAGAACATTTGGTGGAGGTGTCATGGGTGTCAACAACATTTGGTGGAGGTGTCATGGGTGTCCAGGACATTTGGTGGAGGTGTCATGGGTGTCTAGAACATTTGGTGGAGGTGTCATCGGTGTCCACAACATTTGGTGGAGGTGTCATGGGTGTCTACAACATTTGGTGGAGGTGTCATGGGTGTCTACAACATTTGGTGGAGGTGTCATGGGTGTCCAGGACATTTGGTGGAGGTGTCATGGGTGTCCAGGACATTTGGTGGAGGTGCCATGGGTGTCTACAACATTTGGTGGAGGTGTCATGGGTGTCCACAACATTTGGTGGAGGTATCATCGGTGTCCAAAACATTTGCTGGAGGTGTCATGGGTGTCCAGGACATTTGGTGGAGGTGTCATGGGTGTCTACAACATTTGGTGGAGGTGTCATGGGTGTCCAGGACATTTGCTGGTGGTGTCATGGGTGTCCACAACATTTGGTGGAGGTGTCATGGGTGTCTACAACATTTGGTGGAGGTGTCATGGGTGTCCACAACATTTGGTGGAGGTGTCATGGGTGTCTACAACATTTGGTGGAGGTATCATAGGTGTCCACAACATTTGGTGGAGGTGTCATGGGTGTCTACAACATTTGGTGGAGGTGTCATGGGTGTCCAGGACATTTGGTGGAGGTGTCATGGGTGTCCAGGACATTTGGTGGAGGTGTCATGGGTGTCTACAACATTTGGTGGAGGTGTCATGGGTGTCCACAACATTTGGTGGAGGTGTCATGGGTGTCTACAACATTTGGTGGAGGTGTCATGGGTGTACACAACATTTGGTGGAGGTGTCATGGGTGTCTACAACATTTGGTGGAGGTGTCATGGGTGTCTACAACATTTGGTGGAGGTGTCATGGGTGTCTACAACATTTGGTGGAGGTGTCATAGGTGTCCACAACATTTGGTGGAGGTGTCATGGGTGTCTACAACATTTGGTGGAGGTGTCATGGGTGTCTACAACATTTGGTGGAGGTGTCATGGGTGTCCAGGACATTTGGTGGAGGTGCCATGGGTGTCTAGAACATTTGGTGGAGGTGTCATGGGTGTCCACAACATTTGGTGGAGGTGTCATGGGTGTCTACAACATTTGGTGGAGGTGTCATGGGTGTCTACAACATTTGGTGGAGGTGTCATGGGTGTCTACAACATTTGGTGGAGGTGTCATGGGTGTCCAGGACATTTGGTGGAGGTGTCATGGGTGTCCACAACATTTGGTGGAGGTGTCATGGGTGTCTACAACATTTGGTGGAGGTGTCATGGGTGTCTACAACATTTGGTGGAGGTGTCATGGGTGTCTACAACATTTGGTGGAGGTATCATAGGTGTCCACAACATTTGGTGGAGGTGTCATGGGTGTCTACAACATTTGGTGGAGGTGTCATGGGTGTCTACAACATTTGGTGGAGGTGTCATGGGTGTCTAGAACATTTGGTGGAGGTGTCATGGGTGTCAACAACATTTGGTGGAGGTGTCATGGGTGTCCAGGACATTTGGTGGAGGTGTCATGGGTGTCTAGAACATTTGGTGGAGGTGTCATCGGTGTCCACAACATTTGGTGGAGGTGTCATGGGTGTCTACAACATTTGGTGGAGGTGTCATGGGTGTCTACAACATTTGGTGGAGGTGTCATGGGTGTCCAGGACATTTGGTGGAGGTGTCATGGGTGTCCAGGACATTTGGTGGAGGTGCCATGGGTGTCTACAACATTTGGTGGAGGTGTCATGGGTGTCCACAACATTTGGTGGAGGTATCATCGGTGTCCAAAACATTTGCTGGAGGTGTCATGGGTGTCCAGGACATTTGGTGGAGGTGTCATGGGTGTCCACAACATTTGGTGGAGGTGTCATGGGTGTCTACAACATTTGGTGGAGGTGTCATGGGTGTCCAGGACATTTGCTGGTGGTGTCATGGGTGTCCACAACATTTGGTGGAGGTGTCATGGGTGTCTACAACATTTGGTGGAGGTGTCATGGGTGTCCACAACATTTGGTGGAGGTGTCATGGGTGTCTACAACATTTGGTGGAGGTATCATAGGTGTCCACAACATTTGGTGGAGGTGTCATGGGTGTCTACAACATTTGGTGGAGGTGTCATGGGTGTCCAGGACATTTGGTGGAGGTGTCATGGGTGTCCAGGACATTTGGTGGAGGTGTCATGGGTGTCTACAACATTTGGTGGAGGTGTCATGGGTGTCCACAACATTTGGTGGAGGTGTCATGGGTGTCTACAACATTTGGTGGAGGTGTCATGGGTGTACACAACATTTGGTGGAGGTGTCATGGGTGTCCAGGACATTTGGTGGAGGTGCCATGGGTGTCTACAACATTTGGTGGAGGTGTCATGGGTGTCCACAACATTTGGTGGAGGTATCATCGGTGTCCACAACATTTGCTGGAGGTGTCATGGGTGTCCAGGACATTTGGTGGAGGTGTCATGGGTGTCTACAACATTTGGTGGAGGTGTCATGGGTGTCCAGGACATTTGCTGGTGGTGTCATGGGTGTCCACAACATTTGGTGGAGGTGTCATGGGTGTCTACAACATTTGGTGGAGGTGTCATGGGTGTCCACAACATTTGGTGGAGGTGTCATGGGTGTCTACAACATTTGGTGGAGGTATCATAGGTGTCCACAACATTTGGTGGAGGTGTCATGGGTGTCTACAACATTTGGTGGAGGTGTCATGGGTGTCCAGGACATTTGGTGGAGGTGTCATGGGTGTCCAGGACATTTGGTGGAGGTGTCATGGGTGTCTACAACATTTGGTGGAGGTGTCATGGGTGTCCACAACATTTGGTGGAGGTGTCATGGGTGTCTACAACATTTGGTGGAGGTGTCATGGGTGTACACAACATTTGGTGGAGGTGTCATGGGTGTCCAGGACATTTGGTGGAGGTGCCATGGGTGTCTACAACATTTGGTGGAGGTGTCATGGGTGTCTACAACATTTGGTGGAGGTGTCATGGGTGTCCAGGACATTTGGTGGAGGTGCCATGGGTGTCTAGAACATTTGGTGGAGGAAAAGGTGGGAGTGGGGGCGGTGCATCAAGTAATGTATTACGTCAAGTCTCTATTTCTATACCAATTCATCATGCTTCATCGCATGCTTTAAGACATGCTTGTAGTTATTCTTTAATTCTGTTTTAATAAATTCATAGGAAAACCACACACATTTTTTTTAGTCACACGTGTTTTAATAATACTGCACACGCTTTTACGAATATTTAATCTGCACTTTTAGAGTTGACTGGGGCCAGGCCATTACCTTTTAAAACTCGGACAATTGCGCGGGAAATCTCATGCAGTGGGCATGTACACAAAAATGGCGGGGGATTCCTTGATGTGGGCAGGAAAAAAAAACAAAATGGCGGGGATTCCCTTTCAGTTATGCATGAAAAAAGTTGATTAATCTATTGCTCACGTGTAAAATGTGTAGGTCAACAATGCCAACACGAACACAAGATTCATCCCCTCCATGACCCAACACTACCTGACAGCCACACACCCCCCCCCCACCTCCAACACCCGCTATTTTAGTCCCCTCCCCCTTTCCCCCTCCAACTCAGCCTGTCTCAGATTCTCCCCCCCCCCCCCCGTTAGTGTATGTGTGTGTGCGCGTTCCTGTGTGAGAGTCAAAGGACACACCAAATCGCTCACCTTTTACCCATTTTCACTCTTCCTCTACCCTGCTTTAATGACTTTCTATTTATTAGACCCGCCCCTCCTCATAATGTCAATACTCGTCGTCAGTCATTCCGGACTGCACATCTTGTCTAACCCCCCCAAACACACCACGCCCCTTACCTCACTACATACGCAGTCATTTAGGACCGTACATCTTGTCTAACCCCCTCCCCCTCCCACCTTACCGCACCTACCCCATCACAGTCAGTCATTCAGTACCGTATGTCTTGCCTACCCCCCATCACGTCTCTTACATCCCCTACCCCATCCCGATGCGATACCAACCCACACAACACACCTCAGCCCTTGTTGTTGTTGTTTATGTATCGAGCGGTTGACCCGGCAACCCAATCACTTCCTGTATAGGTGGAGAGGACAAACTGCGCGAGGTGTCAACTCATTAGGTGGGGGGGGGGGGGGGGGCGGGGGGGGGGGGGGACACGTTCTCTAGATTGAGTGTGGGCAACACATTGTTTTAATGGTGTGTGGGCGAAGAATTGACTTGTGTGTGTGTAAGGAGGGGGGGGGAGGCTAGCAACGTATACATTTTACCATGGGGTTACCCAGATTTAGCCTTGAACTGTGTGTCGTCATTGAGCAAACTCAGCTAAACCTGGGTACAAGGCATTTTTTTTATTTCACATCAATATAATCCACCTTTTTTTATAATCGTCAAATCACTGAATGTCATTAATACTCTACTGTACCTGCGCTAAGTCTTAAAAGACCAGTTTCATTTTCATTGAAATACCCTGTATGACAGATAGATAGAATCTAATGGAAGAGAGGGACATCAATTGAATAGGCATTAAAATAATGGAAATGGGTGTAAACAGGAAGTGGGTGGGAGGGAGGGAATACAAAGGGGGAGTGGGTGGGAGGGAATACAAAGGGGAAGAGGGTGGGATGGAATACAAAGGGGAAGAGGGTGGGATGGAATACAAAGTGGAAGAGGGTGGGATGGAATACAAAGTGGAAGAGGGTGGGATGGAATACAAAGTGGAAGAGGGTGGGATGGAATACAAAGTGGAAGAGGGTGGGATGGAATACAAAGGGGGAGTGGGTGGGAGGGAATACAAAGGGGAAGTGGGTGGGATGGAATACAAAGTGGAAGAGGGTGGGATGGAATACAAAGTGGAAGAGGGTGGGATGGAATACAAAGTGGAAGAGGGTGGGATGGAATACAAAGTGGAAGAGGGTGGGATGGAATACAAAGTGGAAGAGGGTGGGATGGAATACAAAGTGGAAGAGGGTGGGATGGAATACAAAGGGGGAGTGGGTGGGAGGGAATACAAAGGGGAAGTGGGTGGGAGGGAATACAAAAGGGAAGAGGGTGGGATGGAATACAAAGTGGAAGAGGGTGGGATGGAATACAAAGGGGGAGTGGGTGGGAGGGAATACAAAGGGAAACAGGAATACAAAGAAATTAAAGAAATTGACGGGATATAAGCGATCAAACTTTAAGGTGGTTTACCAATTTCAATAAACAAACATGCAGTTTCAATGCTTTTTAAAAAAAAAAACTTTATTTTTAAAATCCCAGCACTAATAAACCAAGTAAGAATTATAAAGCCGAACCGTGTCGGCAGTTTGTGTGCGTAGATGTTTCAGTGTGTGTAAATGCACGTGTGAGTGAGTGAGAGTGGATATTCAAATTAGTGCACAAATGGGCGTTTAAGCGTGCACGTGCATGTGCGCACGTGCAATGTGTGTGTGTGTGTGTGTATGTGCGTGTGAGAGTCTAACGGAAGGGGAGATAACGGTACCAGCAAGCTGCCTCCAGCTATTGACAAGAAAAACACAATGCGGAAATCGATACGGCGCCCCGGTCCGTGCTGACAGATGGCTGGTGACAGATGGTGACACCTGGTGACAGATGGTGACACCTGGTGACAGATGGTGTCACCTGGACAAGGATGTTGTTTCAGCCTGCAGGTACCCGTCCTGTGTGTGTACCTGGTTAAACTTGCACGTCGTGAGAATTGTCGGGTTAAACATGCAAGTTGTGAGAATAGTCAGGTTTAACATGCACGTTGTGAGAATAGTCAGGTTAAACTTGCACGTTGTGAGAATAGTCAGGTTAAACATGCACATTGTGAGAATAGTCAGGTTAAACAGGCACGTTGACGTCATAATAGTTAGGTTTTATTTGGCTGGATGATGTGAGAATAGCCTGGTTAAACTTGAATGTTTGATGTGGTAATAGCCTAGTGGAATTTGCAAGTCAGATGTGAGAATAGCCTAGTGGAATTTGCAAGTCAGATGTGAGAATAGCCTGGTGGAATTTGCAAGTCAGATGTGAGAATAGCCTGGTGGAATTTGCAAGTCAGATGTGAGAATAGCCTGGTTTAACTTGCAAGTCAGATGTGAGAATAACCTGGTTTAACTTGCACGTCAGATGTGAGAATAGCCTGGTTTAACTTGCACGTCAGATGTGAGAATAACCTGGTTTAACTTGCACGTCAGATGTGAGAATAGCCTGGTTTAACTTGCACGTCAGATGTGAGAATAGCCTGGTTTAACTTGCACGTCAGATGTGAGAATAGCCTGGTTTAACTTACACGTCAGATGTGAGAATAGCCTGGTTTAACTTGCACGTCAGATGTGAGAATAGCCTGGTTTAACTTGCACGTCAGATGTGAGAATAGCCTGGTTTAACTTGCACGTCAGATGTGAGAATAGCCTGGTTTAACTTGCACGTCAGATGTGAGAATAGCCTGGTTTAACTTGCACGTCAGATGTGAGAATAGCCTGGTTAGCAGACCCTGACAATCTGCATGACAACCTCGAATTTTGGTCTAAACTGATCGTTTGTGGAAAAAAATCGTTTCATAATTAAGAAAAGAGGGGTAGTTTGTAATTTGGGTTATACAGTTGTCTGATTACAGCAAAGAACGGTGACGTCATCGGGAGTTTCGTGTTGCTAGTTCATAAAGATTGCACTAAACATAGAACCGGTAAAATGGCGTCCCTTTCTAGGCTTTAATAAGTTGACCTGAGTCGTAGCGCTTATTTCCGTCAACGTTAGACAAAATAATCAACGCGCTTATTTCGTCGACCGTTGACCGAAATAAGCATTTCCTGCCTGTAACACCTGCAGAAAATTGAATCTTCACTTAAAGAAAGTGCAGTAGTACATGCATTGTTCATTCACTGAGGTGTACAGATCTGTGCAGTAGAAGAATATGCTGTACGAAGTGTATGTAGCCTATACCTGTAAGTATGAGGGGGGAGCAAATCAAAAGTCTGAGGGGGGATGCAAATCGAAAGTTTGTCCCCGGGTAAAAATTGGAACACCCCCCCCCCCCCCCCTTGAGACGATCCTGGCTAAAGTAATATTATCTAGATCTGATCTGTAAAGTTGCCTTTTTGTTTTAAAAATCCTGATCGCCCTGCAAATCTTGATAGGATTCCGGGAAACGTTCTAAAAATAGCACAGCACACTGGTTACCACGCAGATATCCGCCTTCGTGACCTACATTGTCCGACAAGGACGTGTAATCAGAACGACAAACTTGAATTTCCGGAAAATCTTGAATCGAGTAAATTGTCGTTAGGCGAAGGTTAACTTCTGCAAGTGAACCAGTCGAATCACAATAGGCCGGTATGGTTAAGCTGGCGTCTACGACCCCCCCCCCCCCCACCCCCCACCAGGACCCTTACACCTTTCGCTATGTCCTAGAATTTTCCTACCACGCCAGAGACCCAACCCATACCTCTAGGAAGGATCTGGCCATTTTGTCGCCAAACCCTAGACCTAAACCCCCCATCACCCCCTGAATGCGTTCCCTCCACGTCCAAGACCGACCACCCCCTCCATAACCCCTTGTCCATTTTACCACCAAGCCCTGACCCCGACCCCTGCCTTGACACTTTTGACCTTGCTACCAACACGCTCTAGACCCGACCCTCCCCTCCTATAGGACCCCTGACCATGTTTCCACCATGCCCTACCCCCCCCCCTTCCCCCGTAAGACTTACCATGTATCTCCATGACCTAGACCCCACTCCATTCCAATGTTCCCTCCACGCCCTACCCCCCCCCCCCCCATAAAGACTACTTACCATGCCCCCTCCGTGTCTTAGACCCCTCTCTCCTTACCATGCCTCTTGCCACGCCCTAGACCCCCCCCCCCCCCCCCCGCCACGCACTATACTGATTGGACTAAACACGTTATCATCTCACAAAGTCGAGACGTCACCGACATTCCTGACAAGATCGATACCAATGAATCGATGCATTGATTTTGTTCCACTCCACGCCTACCTATATCTTTTCGCGCCCTTTAATGTACCAGACACGAAACGTTTTCCAAAAAAAAAAATCTTCACTTCATTATCTACCAGATACAGCACATACAGCAGAAACAGCTGTCTAGCAAGAATGTAAGATTACGCCGTGTATCGATTACTAGCATTTATCGATTACTTTCGTCCTTGCGCCGACAAATTAAATTGTGAACTACTTACACATGTACTGAGCTGATGACGGTGCATAGTGTACCACATGAGACGGTGCATAGTGTACACATGAGACGGTGCATAGTGTACACGTGAGACGGTGCATAGTGTACACGTGAGACGGTGCATAGTGTACACGTGAGACGGTGCATAGTGTACACATGAGACGTTACATAGTGTACGCAAGAGACAGTGCATAGTGTACACTTGAGACGGTGGATAGTGTACACACAAGACGGTACAGATTGTACACATGACTCCTGGTTTGTTTTAACTCACCTTGTACATAGCAGTGTGTTCATATTGCAAAATAGCATGTTGGTGTAGTAATAAAAAAAAACCATGCGAAATTTTCCCCCGTCAGGCTTGATTGATTATAAGGCAGGTGAAGTAGAACCCACCTGTTTCAGTGAACTCGAATATGAATGGGCAAAGTGTTCTGTTTTTTGCCAAATCGTCTATATTTTCTTTAACCACCTAAACGTAAGTCAGGTACCCATAAGAGCTGGGTGGGCTCAGGGACGTCCTACGTACTCTACCCGGGATCCGAACACCCTAGGTCTTGTAGTAGACCGCGTGTTATTTAGGCAGGGTTTCTGTTGCGCTCATAGTTCTACTCAGCTATAATGAGTACCGGTCAACTAAATTCTGCACACAAATCTCCAAGTAAAACAATATCGCATTTAAAAGTTTGTTCTACACCTACTCAAAATGTAATTTTACTTCAAACGAATTTTTAAAATGCCACGATCTAAAATAGCACCGCCATGTATTGAACTACAAGAACAGGTATGGACCGTTGGTAAATAGAGTCCTTTCATATGACGTCACGTCCGTTCGTGATACCTACGCCCGCCGCCACAGTGGTGTACACAAGATGTAAACACAATCAGCTGTTCGCCAGCGCTGGACGTGTTCACCAGCGCTGGACGCGTTCACTGTATGTAAAGAACCGCACCCGCGGAAAAGGAAAAATACGTTAAAAAACTTGAACTCTTAGGAATTGAAGATCCTTATACTGTTATTGACAGTTTCGTATAAATAAATATGTGGACAAAATTTCTAAATAAAAATACTGTTAGTAATACTGTTTGCGTTTAGAGTTAAAGTAGCCGAATCTGATCAAATGCAGTTCTCGATACTTTGTTTCATGTAAGGACAGTAAAATAATGAACTTCATTTTAATTATAAAAGATAACTATTAATAAAACAAATATGCTCGACCTTCACAAATACTAATAGTAAAAGACAAAGTCAAAAGTAATAATAAGAATAATAAGATCTAATAGTAGGCCTAATACCTGGCTCCGCTGGGTAGACATAGAATCTAGAATCTACTTCTTTACTTAAATTTAATTACTTTAGATCTACATTCGATTCAAAATACACCCATAATAAATCAAAAGTAGTCATAATAGGCCTAATAAAGCATTTAATTGTCTCTAAGATCTAAAATCTCGCTCTATTATCTAATTATTTTTTTAGCAAACGAAATTTTCTGAAATTGAAATAGATTATATGACTAGACTTAGATCTAGAATCTGCTACTTAAATTAAATTGTAAAACTTTATACAAGCATGTAGTTGATATTATTGTAGTAGAAGGCTTTAATAAATTACTAAGGCCTACCTACTTTGTTGTCTTTTTACAGCAATATGTATCTGATACTGGACTGAGTTTAATTAAATTCAAATTCATATCTAGTAATTGGTCTACTAAGTTTTTGTAGCCTAGTAGTACAATCTAGATCATACCAGCCAACAACAAATAACCACATTATTATTATTTGGTTAATGATTAGGCTATTTTTTTTAAAATTCACTGTTTATAAAAGAAACAAATCAAGCTAGAAACATTATAAGTGAGATGGTTTAGAATAATAACAATGGACCCAGTCTACAATTGATACAATTGCAGGTCTACATAGGGCCTACAGTCTAGTAGTTTACAGTAGGCACCTAGTGTGTAGCTAGTATACTAGTGTGTA